TTAAAACACCATTGAGATACCATCTTACTCTAGAAAGAATGGCATTCTTCAAGACATCAAATAATAATTGCTTGTGAGCATATGGGATAAAAGGAGTTCTTCTACATTGTTGGTGAGAATGTAAACTAATACAACCATTATGGAAATCAGTCTGGAGATTCCTCAAAAAAACTAAAAATAGAAATTCCATTTGACCTAAGTCTTCCTCTTCTAGGTATCTTCCCTAGAGAGTTAAAGACATTATACCACAGTGATGTGTGCATGTCCATGTTTGTATCAGGGCGATTTGTAATAGCTAAATCTTGGAAATGGAAATAAGCTCATCAACAGATGACTGGACAAAGAAAATGTATGTATACACACTGGAAGTATTTTTACATAAAGATACATTTGAGGCATTTGGAGGTAAATGGATGGAACTTGAGGCCATAATATGAAGTGAAATAAGTCATATACACTCATCACCTAAGTATGCAAGGTTCTTATAGGAGCGAGGGACCTTCTGCTCCTCTTCCCACCCCCACTACATACACAAACTTGTTACTGGCCTACAGTGCAGAATAGCAGATAAAAGTTGTCCTAGCCCATCTCAGTGTCTGGCTGGCAGCAGAACAGGGAGAATTACAGACTTTGCATATTTTTTTTTATTTTTCAAAAATACCACCAGGACCAGGAGGGTGGATAGCAGCAACGCTGCACAAATGATCCTTCTGATGACACTGAGGAGTGAGAAATCTCCAAGGGCAGAGAGAAGAATCACAAATGTCAGTAAAATAAAAAGAACATTTTATACTGGCCATAAGCATTGGTTCTGTTTATTTACTGTGTTGCTCAGGCTGTTCAGTACTGGGTTCAACAAAGAACCCCTCAGAGTACGCAGTCTGTTAAGGGAGACTGCAGAGGGAAATTGGGTCTTTGTCAAAGTGACGCAGCTGAATCTCAGTTTCTTAAATAGCCAAATAATACTTTGGTTTATAAGGTTAAAATGCTGGTAATTTCTTGGTAGATTGTAAATGAATTTTCAAAACTAATAGCTAGACATACAAAAGTGCCCTCAAGGAACCTAGACACTATTTTTGAAGTATGATTCCTCTCTGTTCTTAACTGCTAAGGATGGAGCTCAGTAAACTTAGGATGTATTTGTATTTAATTAGAGAAAGTGAAAGAAAAAATATTGTCATTGAGTAGAAAACCACAAAGCTTCAGATGCTCATATTTAAATTGCACTGACTCTTGAAGTCCTGCAGAAAACGTGATACTTAAAATATGTTTAATATTTTACTTTTCATGTTGATGACTAACATTTAAGCCAAGAGGTGACTTTTGTTCTTTGGCAGAGCAAGGCTTTATAAACTTTTAAAAGTAGAACACTTCAGAAGCATTCTTTTATTGTTTCTAGTTTCTGGTGGCTCTTTTGTTTCTCTTACCCCATTTGACTAAGTCACAGATCTCCACCCTGTCACCCCACCAACAAACCCAAATGAACTTGTCATGGTCCCAATGTCTCATATGTAACTGAGTACTGTGACCTGTTTAATAACCTGTGCTCATTAAATAATAGGGCCCAGAGTGGATTCAGGGACCTCCAATTCTTTATTTCCTAACCAGTGCATCAGATCACCTTTTTCTCTTCTAGCTTTCTCCCATGCAGATATACATTTTTCTTCTCCTTTAATTATTTATACCTCATCTGCTTCCAAAACTATTTTAGATGATCTATAATCAAATATAAGTATATTTAAGATTTTTGTAACCAAAAATCAGAAGTGAAGAAGAGCTTGTGGTGGGATAATTGTTTGAGGAAGCACAAATGTACAGGATGCCTAATCTTCACTTACCAGTGTTTTTAGTCCTATTTTAGAATGATACTAATATAAAGGAAATTATCACATGGAATCCTACAAAATTGCACAACTGACATGGATTTAAAGAGGCCTGGAGTATAAATCACCAAGGTAGTCATGAATTTTGTATCATGTCCACTAAATGAATTTTGTTCAGATTCTGCTTCACCTTCAGCAACAGAGCTCTGCTTCTTGAGACAGTCAATTCTGCTCTCCAGTTATTAGCACTTTTTTATTTCACAGCTGAGCTCTGTGTAACTGGCTCTGTTTCTATGCCCATTTTTCAGCTAGATGAAAAGCTGAAATCAGCCTTAAATGTGTGGCAAGTTTCGTGTGTATGTGTGCGTGTGTGTGTATTTGTTTTAAATTTTAAAACTCTTAGTATACACTACCATTCCTAAATGTCATGTTTCTAGATCCTTTGCTATTTTGGTCTCCCCTTTTTTTCCTGTATGCTTTGGTTTTTAAATTTATTATGCATTTATTTTTCAATTAAATTAACTTTTGTTTTTCTTAAAGCTATACATTCTTATATTTTAAAGAGCCAAGCAATTCTAGTATAGTTGGTATTTAAAACAACAAAAATCCTCCTGTTACCTCATTTTCTGTTCCCCTGAATCCATCGCTTTTAAACCTTTGAGTTAATTCTTTTACTTTTCCTCCTGTTTCTCTAGCATGCTTGTATGGCTACCTCCCCAAACTTCAGTTTTAGACATTAGTTTTAGCCTCCACTCTAGAAGATGAAGCTCTCTTCCAGTATCATGCTTTGCCCCTACCCTATGCACACACTTCCAGGGCCCTTGTTCTGCTGGAGATATGTTGTAACTGTGTTTGGATCAATGTTCTGTCTTTACATTATGACTAAGTAAATGCTTGAAAGCCGAGTGACATACTGTTTCATTATTTGCTGTTTTGGGGATAATAGTTGTTTCGTTATACTGTTTACCTAGTTTTCTGTGCAGTTCGGAGTGATTGACTTCTAAACTTTCACCTAGTTGTATGAATCTCCTTTGAGTAGTAAGCTCAGGTATTTTGAGAACATTTGCCCTTCCTCTAATCTGAGTTGGCTACTCGCTAGGCCTACTGCAAAACTGGCAATTTGAGATCTCCCTTCACGTCATACCTGGCTTTCCATTAGTTTTTCTTGTATTGGAGTACTAATTATCTGGATCCTATGTGCTTTTTAAATTTTTATTTTTTAAATCTACAACATTAAATTTATGTTGTTGTACAGTTCTGTGAGCTGTGACAGATGCCTAGTCGTGAAATCTATAGAACCATCAAAATACAGACTAGTTTTATCACATCTAAAAATTCTCTAAAGCTGCCTTCTAAAGCTGTAGTCAAATCCTTCCCCACTCCCTGGCAGCCACTGGTCTATTTTTATCCCTGTAGTTTTGTTTTTTCCACAAAACTGGACTGTTACAGTATTACAGCCTTTTGAGATTGGCTCCCTTCCTTTAGCATGATGCATTGGTGTACTGATACCTCATCCATGCTGTGTGATGTATCAGTAAGTTTTTATTGCTGATTTGTATCTATTATATGAATATGCCACAGTTTATCTGCTCACCATGTGAAGGGTATTTGTTTTGTTTCCATTTGGGGCGATTATTAATGAAGCTTCCATAAATGAACAAGTTTTTATGTGAACATATTTGCACTTGTTTAGGAGTGGGATTGCTGGGTCATAGGATACATTAGGTAGTTTTCTGTTACAACTGTATTACAAAAACCTGAGGTAAATCAACCAAAATGGTTTATTTTGGCCTACAGTTTTGGAGGTTCTAGTCCATGATGGATTGATCTTGTGCAGCAACACATTATAGTGGGAATGTGTCAGAACAAAACCACTCACCTCATGGCCTGCACAGTAAGTAGAGAGCCAGAGAAAGGTGCTGTAGTCTCCTGATTCCCTCAGGGACTGCCTTCAGGCATCTATAGACCTCCCATTAGGCACCATCTGCTAAAGACTTTCCCACTTCCCAGTAGCCCCAGGCTTGGGAATAAGCCTCTAACACCTGGGCATTTGGGGGACACTTAATATCCAGACTGTAGTACTACAGAATAAGTGAGTGTTGGTACGAAACTGCCAATTTGTTTTCCAAAATGGTTGTACCATTTTGTATTCCCATGAGCAATGTGAGATGCCAGTGCTCCATATCCCTGCTTGCACGTGTCAGTTTATTTTTTAAAATTGTTGCTGTAGGTTTATAGTAGTATCTCATTGTGCTTTTAGTTTGCTTTTTCCTGACTAATGATATTGAACATCTTTTCATGTGCTTATTTAACATTTGTTTGTATTCCTTGGTGAAATATCTTTCAAATCATTTGCTCATTTTTAATAGGATAGCTTAATTTCTTTCTTTCTTTTTTTTTTTTTTTTTTTTTTTTTTTTTGTACTGGGGTTTGAACTCAGGACCTTGTGTTTGCCAAGCAGACATGGTGCCACTGAGCTAAATCCCTGGCCCAGGATGGCTTAATTTCTTATAGATTAGTATGAGAGCTCTTTATGTATTCTAGGTGCATGTCTTTTGTCAGACATGTGATATGCATATTTCTTCCTGTATGTTTATTGCTTTTTTACATTCTTTTAACAGTATCTTTCAAAGCACAAACATTTTAAATTTTGTTCAAGCTCACCTTCTCACTTTTCTTTTCTGGGTTGCGTTTTTAGTGTTAGCTAATAATGCTTTGCCTTGTCTAAAGTCACAAATATATTTTTTCCTACTTTTTCTAGTTTGTTTTACATGTAGGTCTATGATCTGTTTTGAGCTAATTGTTGTATAAGGTTTGAGGTGCTGATTGAGTTGTTTTTTTTGTTTGTTCTTTGCATGTGTGTCTGATTATTCCAAAACACTTAATTGAGAAAAAAACAAAACAAAACAAAACTACCTTTTTCCTTCTTTTTTGTGTTTTTTTGGACACTGGGGACTGAACTCCGGACCTTGTGCTTGCAAGGCAGGTAGCGGCACCACTGAGCTAAATCCCAGCTCCAAAACTACCTTTTCATTGAGTTGCCTTTTTACTTTTTTCAAACATCAGGCATATATGTGTGGGTTTATTTCTCAACTTTATAGTGTGTTTCATCAGTCTGTCATCATCAATATTAGATGGCGTTTTTTTTTCTTTTTCTTTCATTTTACAACTTTATTAGCCCTGCTAGAGCAAGACTCAAAAAATTGGATTAAGACTCAGAATTGTTCCTCTCCACAGAAATCTTTAGTAAAAGGCAAAAGATTTATAAGTTCTGAAGAGATACCAGAGTATAGATGGTCTTGATTATTGCAGTTTTATATTATGCATTAAAAATGAGCTAAGAAGAATCCTTTCTGATTTCCTTATATGCTTTAGCTTATTGTTATCTACAAAAGTCCTGCCAGGATTTTGTTTTGGCTTGCATTAAAACTATGGATCATTTGGAAAATTAGCAAAGAATATTGAATCTTCCAGTTTGAGTGTGGCATAGTTTTCCCTTTAAACTTTCTTTGATTTTTTTCAGCAGCGTTTATGTCTTGGTGCTTTCTTTCTTTCTTTTTTTTTTTTTTTTTTAATTCTCTTGATTTGGTAGAGCACATCCTTCAGTAGCTTCTTGAGAAAAAGGATACATGAACTACATTTTTTGACAGTTTGCACATGTTTAATACTTACCATACATATATAATATTTGAGGAGATATAGGATTCTAGGTTGGAATTTATTTTCCTCTATACTTTTAAATGCCTTATTTCATTGTTGTTTCATTGTACATAAATGTGTTATATCATTGTCTTCTAGTTTCTCAATGGCTGTTGTATTTCAGTACCTCAATCTGATTTTTTAAAGTTTTAAAAAATTAGTATATGTTTGCCATACATATTAAGTACATCCATCTTGGGGAATTGAAACATATACGTATCATGTCTTAATCTTTTTTCTTTCCCCTTCCCCTACGAGCACTTTAGACCCTCTCCCCATCTCCACAGAGTATCTTCCTGTTTCCAATCATCTCTTTTATTTGCTCTTTAAATTAATTATATTTTGGGTTGCTAATGTAAGAGAAACCATGTAATATTCCACCTTCTTGTATTCAACTTGCTTTGTTGTCTGGAACTTTTTTTGTAAGCCATTTTCTGACATTTTTCAATGCCTTATGTGGATCTATTTTCATCCAGTATGCTGGACACTGTGTGGGCTCTTTCAATCTAGAAATTTGTGTTTTGCAGAGAAATAATTTTCTGATTTCTTCTCATACATTTATTTCCCTTATTCCTTGGTTTCTTATCTTCTTTCATTTTTGAACACTGTCTTTATTCCTTAGTTTGTCTCTAAGAACAGTATTTCTATGGCATTTTATTTCTGCTATGATTTCTTAATTTTCTAGAGAAGTTTTTATTCTTAATATTTTTTTACATCATTGGTTCTTATCTACATAGATGTGTACTACATTTTGAGTTCACTTTTCTCTGCATCTGCATCACCTTTTTCTTTTAAGTCATTTTCCTTCGGTTTCTGCCACTCACATTAAAGGATTCCTGTATGTCTGGTGATTCTCAGCTGTCTATTATTTAGGGACAGGGCTCTAACAGGCTTGAAAATATTATATTATTTGGGAACGAGATTGTCATCTGTGAGGTTTACATTCTAGGAGACTATGGCTGGCCTGCTATCTTGGTCTTTTGTCTTGAGGCGGTTCATATTTCTCCAGGGAATCTCTTCTAGTCTCCTGGAGGTTATTAATCTGAACCCAAGCAAGGGAAGAAGGTTGTGGTAGGGGTTGGTCTCAATATTCAAAATGTAAACTTGTTTGTAATTCAGTTGTTTTCTTTGTAGTACCCCTGTATGATGCAAGTCTTAGTAGAAGAGGGACAGTTCATTGTCTCACTGTTCAGAAAGTCTAACTGTTCTTAGGCAACTTTCCCCTGAGGGCTTGTTCTTAGCCTATTGTCACTTCCAGTTCCAGGGATATATTTTATCACTAATTCTTGAATTTTGAAGTGTTTTGTGGTATAACTTGGTTTGCTTCCCATCTTTTCCCACTGTTGGCTCAGAATTCATTCCACTTTTATAAAATCTTCTAGTTCATTTTATTCTCTCCTTCCTAGTTACAAATGTTTTAAATCCCTTTGTTATTTTAGTGGAGTTTTGGATGGGACAGGAGTGCATTGCATCTGTTCAGTTACTCCACATTTGTTGGAAGTACTGTCCAAGTCTCTTTCACCTGCATAAGTTCTAGTGTAACAACCTTTTTAAAGTGTAGTGTACGAAAGCCTGCTTATTCACCAGACTAGTGGTAGGCACTCTGTGCTTGTTGATCCTTAATGTTGCCAAGCCTTTTCAACAGTTTCCCTTTTATTAGCTACCAGTCAACCAAAAGTCCCCAAGCCAACTTTTTCCTCCCATGCTGTTTTTTGTAATATCAAATATTTAAAACACAAATATAAAACTCGGATTTTCCCCAGGAAATTTAAAGCTGTTGATTTTTGCCTAGCTTTATAGACTGTCATAAGCCTTTAGATTTCTGATTTGATCATCTGGTGTATTTGCTGTTCTTTTCTTGAGTTTTTATTATCTGATAATTTGGTCAGCAAACCAATTGTGTCTCCATATTTGTTGGGGAAGGTTTGTTGATGTTGTTATGCACTGTTAGGCAGTCTGGGTGGCCTGTCTGCTTGGGAAACTTCTCAGGTTAGTATCCTTTGGCCTTGACATTATTTATCATTTCATTTTTTGTTAAAAATATTTCCATTTCTTTTCAGTATCTCTGACTAGGTAGTCTTTTCTCTTTGGGGGGGGGTACTGGGGATCAAACTTGGGACCTTGAGCCTGCAAGGCAGGTGGCGAAACCACTGAGCTAAATCCCTGGCCCTAGTAATTTTTCTTTAGTAGGTCAGCTCTTCTCTAAAGACCATTCTAGCAATTCCATATATAATTGACACTTATCTTAGTTCATTTCCTTCCATCTTATCCTGAGATATTAAAAGTGGGATTAACAGATTTTAGTAAAATTCAGCTATGTCATATGTCTCCAATCTCTGACCCCTTATCTATCAAAAAAGGATGTGAGCCTAGCAGGAATGGCTTGCCCAGATGCATGTGCAGGCTCTTTTTTTTTTTAGGTGCCCATAAGCCCTCTCTTTGATATTCTGATTTAGAACTCTACTCAGTTGAAAATAAACTCAATTGCAAAATATGTGACGTTCCTCTTTCCTTTTCTAAAAATAGGGATGCTACCATGTTTCTCAGATATCAGCAGCAGCCTTTGTACTGATCTTCTTGGTGCTTTTGCATGTGACATGTCTGGACTCCCAAGTTGTGACCTTTTCCCTGGGAGAAAGGAGAAACTGTCTTTTTTCCCCTATGTTTTCAGGGTACCTAGCAGCATGAGAGATAACTGGCAAATGTTTCGTTATGCTTGTTTACTTGAAACAGCCTAGGATTCTTTCTCAGTTCCCTTACCTATTTACTTTCAGTGCTTATAGAGCAATACTGAGTCTCATTCCACTAAATTTTTTCTTTATTTGGTACTGGGGATCAAACTCAGGCCCTTGCGCTCGTGAGGCAGGCGGTGGAGCCACTGAGCCAAATTCCCGGCCCATCATTCCACTTAATTTTGTTGTTATACTTTCTTACTTGTGTTAAAGTGTCAAGATTTATTTTTAAAAAGTCTTTTCAGAGAACCTGCTAATGTTCCAAGCATTGTGCTGGGTTTTGACGATGTAGCAACTCCTGCTCTCAAGGAGTTCACCACCCAGTGGGGAAGAGATGAGTAAAGAAGTGCAGAATGTGAAGTTTTGTTGATGACCACTCTGTGACACTGGAAGTTGTATATGTATTCTGCCCTTCTTTGAAAATTTCCTCCTGGAACTGTCTGTTCTCTTTCTTTACATACCATACCTGACATGTGCAACTTTGCTGCCACCACGCCTTGTCCAGGTAATCAACAACTTGTGCTTATTTGTGTCATACAGTTCTTTCTTCACATAGCATACTGAGTCACCAAACAGGTAACTCAAGTACCACACCCTCTCCGCTCCAGTGGCTTTTGTTATACTCAGATATCTTCTCTACCATAATCTGGACTCTGCCTCCCTCATTTCCCTACTGCCCCTCTTTTCATGTATGTTCTGGTCAAGTTCACAGTGTACAAACAAGTGGAGATCTTCCCTATTCCAGGGCTTTCCTTTTCTCTCTGGCTCTATCCTGAGATCTGTCAGACTTGGTCCTTCAGTTCTTTAACGGCCCTTTGGCCCCTACCTATCATGTCATTTTCTTTATCTTAGCTGTATTTTTCTTGAAGATGATCATCACTTGAAATTATTTACATATTTTGATTGGCTTTCTCCATTCATAAATTCTACAGCTCAGGGATTTTGTCTGTAGTATTGATTGCTGTCTCCTCATTGTTAGAAGGGTGTCTGGCTCTGAGGGGATAGTCAATGTTTGTTGAATGAATGATACTTTATAGTATCAGTTCATATTGTTCTTCCTATCCCTCTGTTTTTAGTTCAAAGCCCTTTGGATGAGAAAGGCCAGTTTCTGGGCAAAGCTATTCTTTTAGACTTAATTAGGTTTCCTCTGCTAGAATTAGTGCTTAATCTTTGCAGCATCTTAAAACTGTGCAAACTAAATTCTATTCTTTGCTGACCTCTGTGTAACCAGTGGTTAACTTTCACATGCTTCTTATTCTTGTTGGAATAATAGATGAAAAGCCAACTATGGCTCAAAGTCCTTGCATTTATTAATTCCTAGATACATTTCTCAAATTTCTGCTGCTTTTTTTGTTATCACCATAGTCTTTGCAGGCTTTCTGTCATCTCCTGATTCCTTCTGTTGAACTTCTTGCATTTGTCAATTTCCTGGGATAGTGGTTTTCTAAAAATTCTGAGAAATCCTTAGTCTGATACTTATATGTTACAGCTCCTCCAGTATATAGAGTTTTCATTCTCTATTTGTCTCTGCCCCTGCCATACATACACACAATTTTAATATCACCTCCCTAATTCTAACTAGATTTGGAAAATGCTTTATAAGAGAAAAAGACATGGAGTTTGGTCTTGAGGATGAGTAATAGCTGTGATGAGATAGGTAGAGACACTGCAGCCCGCAGGAATGGCATCAGCAATAGCACCGAAGCATGAAATGGAGAACCTGTTTGGTACAAGTGCTTTGGAATGGCTGCAGTGCACATTTTACATAGTGTGAAGGCTGGCTGCGACCTTAAAGAGTGCATTAGGGTTATGTGAATCGGTGCACTGGTCTCAATATTTTTAATATTTCTAGTGTAATGG